ATCTTCTTACTTAGCACGACCACAAGTAGCACTAAGAAGACGATCATAGACCAAACTCTAGGATTGAAATTCTGGCGTTGCACAAAGAGGTGTTCGATAATTTCAGACCCCAATGCTCTCACAGCTGGTTTCACAATGTACTTAATGAAAACTTCCTTCGCAGATAACTTAAGTATCTCTTTTCTGCTTTATGTTTTCCCTGCTCTAAACGTGCTTCGATTATGCTTAATGAATGATGATCCTATGTTCTTACACTATATTCGTGGCATCCTTAACACCTATTTACATGGTTACAGAGATCTCTGTCAGTTCCATTTTGTGGAACTTCTATTTATTATATTGATGGCCATCACATCTGATTACCGGTGTTCATGACCGCCTCTTCGGTCTTCAAGACCACCTGAGCTAGTTTGCTATGGGATGTACCACATAAACATTTATGTCCCTGTATGAAATAAGAATCTGTTAAGTTTATTGTTTGCTTTTCAGTAAGGACATCATTCAGAACGCCTTTACACTGTTGTTATTCACTGGGCTCTAGCTCACGTTTTGATATGTATATCAATCCAAATGACTAATCAAAAGAACAACAAGTGTAATAAGAGATGGACAACAACATCGAACCATGAAACCCTAGTTCAGAACATAATAAAATATTTGGTCAAAACCGGAGTCGCTATGAGAATCAATTTTGAAAAGTAAATTATTTAAAAGAGTTGACAAAATTTAAAAACTTGTTTAGTTATATATTAAAAAAATAGCTTTTAAAATTTTTAAAATTCAAAACTTGTTTGCTTCTCAAATTCTTAAAATTCTTAAATAATTTTTAAAACTCTGTTTCATTTTGAAATTTTCAAAAATAGTTTTTGAAATATTTGTAGTAGAGTTTTTAAATATTTTAATCAATGGTTTTTAGTTTTTATTTGATTTTTTAAAAGAATATTAAGTACTAACAAATATATAGAAAAATATACAATATTTATTTTATTTTTTAAAATTTTTTTAGATCGACTCAATCTAAATATACTTAAAACGTATAAAATTTATGAAAAAATCTTAAACTTTCAAAAACCTTTCCAAAATTCAGATTGGGCTCAATTTTTCACAAAAGTGAGTTAAATTAGTCTTGATATATGTATATATACTAGCAGCCAAATGAAAAAAAGAAAAGAAAAGAAGATTAATATTAAAGGCACGATGCAATAATATTATATGTGTATTTTTTTGTCCCTTGCGTAACATGACCACTCGAGTAACACACTATATGTGCTCAAGTGATCAAGTTATATAGATATGTCAATATATATAAAAGAAAATTAATACTTTCAATTGAATGTAATGTTAATAATGAGGCTTAATGAACTCTAATTTCAATCTAAAACAGAAAACAAAAGGGATATATGTATCTTCTTACGTAGAATAGAACGACCAGGAGCAACGTAAAGAAGAACATCTTAATCGCAATTCTACGATTGAAATTCCGGCCCCGCGCAAAGAACTGTTTGAATATTTCAAAGCCCAATTTGCTCACAGCAGGTTTGATAATGTAATTCATGAAAACTTCCCTTGCAGCGGTCCCTTCAACTTCTTTCATCTTCAAGTGTAGGAATGGTGGTTCTATGATGGAGCTTTTATACTTAGGTCTGGTGGTATCTTCAAGTGTAGGAATGGTGGTTCTGTGATGGAGCTTTTACACTAGGGGGGAGGGGGGAAGTGGGTTGTGGGCGATTTGGACAATTAACCACGATTTGACATGTGACACCTCTCGTAATGAGCAACACCTCTTTTATTTGTCCATATTGGTCTTTCACTTTACAGCGTGCACATCCTCTCTCTACATCTTTCTAAGGAAGTGGATTGTTCAATCCACCATTGGATTGGACCGTCTACTTTGGTTTATTGTGTCTATTTTTGAGTCTTGTTTGCTTAATTTGAACTGTTTATATTTTAGGATTGTCGAGTATATCATTTTTGGAAGGGAAAAAAAAAAGTTGATCAGATAACGGAAATCACATGTTCAAATCAATTTTATATAAACGGTGAAAAAATAAACGGTTCATACAACTGTCCATACAAAATTGATCCAAACACATGATTTTTCGTTATCTGATCGACGTAATTTTTTGGAAAGATGATATACTCTACGGAACCCTCTAGACAGAATTGATTCGAACATGTGATTTTCGTTATCCAATCGACTTAATATTTTACAGGGGCTGGCTCTACCACATGAATGGCGTAAAGCAAAAAATTAAAGGCAGACTGTTTTAGGTTTGTTTTGTTTCATCTTTTTCAAGGCTAGGAACATATTGAAATAGATTTTTATTACAGATGAAAGAATACAAGTTTAATGGAATAATTGGACCTATTTTTAAATTTTCTTTTAATCAAATTTAAATTTGATGCAAGATTGGTGAATGATTGGAGATATTCTAATCGTACTCATTTATTATTTGATATTATCGTGTTGTGTTTATGTCATGTCAATAAATTTTATTTTCAATTAAAAATATCAAGTATATTAAAAAAATTTAAATTTTCCTTACACGCTATGCACAAGACTTTATAAATTAAAAAAAAAAAATCATTATGATTATTTTGAAATAATTTAATATTTTGTCTTGTGGTATACATGAAATTTAGAATTATTTTTAAGGGCACCATACCGAGAGGCGATGAAGTCTGGAGCACGGGTTAAAGCCTTTTAGTGTTGAGCCCTATCCACTGAACCCACCTCGGATACTATTATTAAAGACAATATTATTGAGCCCTATTTTAAGAAATAAGTTAAAATTCAATTTTTTATTTTTTTTAAAAAAAAAACATACAAAAAGAAATTAATTTTTAACAGTGTTGTCCAAAATGGACCTAAATATTTGTGACGGTAAAAGCTGATATTGTATTTTAATAGTTTCAATAAACTTTTGCGATATATGCTTTCGCCCTGTCAAGGCCATAAGTTTAACACGGTGCTGCCACGTCACAATAAAATGCTGCCAATAATATCCTGCCATGTCAAAAAATACAAAAAAGTAAAGTGGGCCATCATATTAAAGAGCCTTATCAATTTAACCCTATTTAAGTCCTCTCTCCAAACTATTGTCATCTCTGTAAACCCATTTGCATCTCTCTCTCTCCCTCTCTCTCTCTCTCATGGCCAGCCACCATTATCATCGGCCATCGACGGAATCCTCCTGTCCAACATTATAGTAATATTAATTTTGTTTCAATTAATTTCTGCATAATGACTAAACCCATACCATTAGTAAATCGATCACAGCAATATAACCCATACCCTCATCTTCAACCACCAATTATATCACCAACACTGTTACTCATTGCCTCTGCAACTTCTAATTTTTCAATCTAAAATCTTCCTTTTCACTCAAAAATGAAAATTTCCAAAATGAACGAACAAAATTTAATTTTTCTTTATTTTTTCTTCTTGCCCAAAATTTTTTTTTCTCTCTAATATTTTGTATTATCCAAACCTCACTCTCCTTTTTGATTCATTTTTTATTATGCACAACTAGAGATACATATACATATAAAATAATTCCATTTAGTAAGGAATAATAAAGAGGTCCAGTTTTAGAGAGTAGAGGATATGGGTAAGTTTTTAATTTATTGAAAGTATTGGAGCTGATAGTGAGAGAAGAAAGAAGAAAGAGAAAGAAGTTGGGGGTCTGTAGAGAGAGAAATTGGGTTGGGTCAGAGGGAGAAGGGAAGAGAGAGAGGGAGAGAAAGGAGGAGGAGGAGGGGATTTTGGTTTAACAAGCTTTTAAAAGGATGTTCTGGTTAAGTTTTATGTACAGCCTCTTAAATTGATTTTTCTACTAATTTATTAATTTTTCGAGGAAAAAAATTATTGGATGCCCGTAAAGCTTTACTCCACGACTCAGCCTTATAAAACATTGAAATTGTTAAGAACTCAAATGCCTTATTCATATTTTTATCAAATATTTTATATGAATAAAATATTTAAAAACTTGAACATCATTCATAAAACATATGTCCCGTAGGCCGGTCAAAATCTTGAATCTATCCTTGCCTTTTTTTGCAGACAACACATTCCGGTCTACATCTTAGACATGAGGAAACCTCATCCAAAGCAGACAAGTCAACCCAAATAGATTAATAGAAACTGAAAACTGCTAAAATGTTTTAATTTCAAATTTGTGCACAAATCAAAGGTTGAAATTTAAGTAGATAAATTGATCCAAATGCAAATATAAGTTCAGAATATAGTAGAAGCACTAACCAAACAAACCAGATCAGGACATCGTAAATTAACATAAAGTGGTGAATTTTATTATTTAAATTAACAAAAATCAAAGCAAAACATTGTATTGGCTCTAATATCATTACATAATTTTTCCACACTGAAAACAATTATATCCGACAGAATGACAACATTTCAAATATCCAACATTATAGTGAACGCGTTCATAAGAATCCTGAAATATCATAGAAGTTAGAATACGAATGTCATTAATATATATAAAAGAAGATTAATACTTTCAATTGAATATTAACAATAAGAATTGAATATATACAAGCATAAATAAGGACTAAAAAAACTAATGAACCCAGAATAAGTGGAGGTATTCAAATTTAAAAAAAAAATGAAATGGGATTTATTTATCTTCTTACTTAGCACGACCACAAGTAGCACAAAGAAGACGATCATAGACTAAACTCTAGGATTGAAATTCTGGCGTCGCACAAAGAGGTGTTCGATAATTTCAGACCCCAATGCTCTCACAGCTAGTTTCACAATGTACTTAATGAAAACTTCCATCGCAGATATGTTAGTTTAAGAAAAAGACCTATCTGATTCGTTAAATTGGAAGGCTACAAATTAAATAATGGACTAGGTGGTTGGAGCCTAATTCACCTTAATTAGACAAAGTGGAGTTAACGTAACTTGGGTTATAGTAAGAAAATTAATTGAAGTGATTGTAGTTTGGTTTAGCTTAAGTCAAAGTAACTCCCTCGTATTTGTTCAAAATTAGTAGTTGTGAAAAATTCTATAGACAAGAAGAATCAATGAACCAAGTATTTGAGAGCAAAGTACCTCTAATTGAATCCTTCGATACAAAAAGAAAATTTGAAATGATTGATTAACTATCTTGTAAGTTATGCATAATGTGCAATTTAAACAATGGGCCTCAGAAGTTGTTTATTGATGCATTTACACTTACACACACTCACTGAGACAAATAGACCAAAAAATAAAAGATATATGACAAATTGTTCAACATTGGCAGCAATGAGATAAAGATGAATAACTAACCTGTTTGAGAAATTCTTCATGCCAATTGTTAAGAGTATCAAATGATTTCAGGGCATTAACATCGTATACAAGAATACAACAATCTGTCACTCTATAAAAGGCAACGCTGAGACTTTGAAGCCTCTCCTGCCTAGCTGTGTCCTATATCTACCAAAGCAAAGCACACAATCACATAGCAACTAGAGAGATATTGATCAAACATGCTCTAAATAAAAGCAGGCACAGAACAATAAAATTGAAATGGAACTGAGAACCCACTTGTAGAGTGACAAGCCTGTCATCAAATTGTAGTTCTTTGGTGACAAAATCAGCCCCAATTGTAGCTTTATATTGCTGATTGAACTTTTTATGAACATATCCAGTAAGCAGTCAAATACCCACAAACACTAATTCAAATAACATCAAAAATAATTCACAATGAGCTTAAGTAGCTCTCTCAGTTTGGATTTTAGAACTGTTTCATTAGATTCCAAGGTCAAAAATTCAAAGAAAAATCAAAGCAATTTTCAGACCCCATAGCAAAACAATTGACTTGTAATTAAAAAAAAATCAATATGGAGATTTGAAGATTGAGCTACAATACAAAAATTGAAGCTGTGATCTTCAAAAATTCAGGAAAATAAACACCAAAAAAAATCTTTATTTGAAGGATACTTATTAGGGTTAGAGAAAAACCAAGTTGGGAGGTCACAGGCAGCGAAGCATCCAACAAATTAGGGTTCAAATTGGGAAAAAATGAATTATGAAAGTGAGAGACGAGAAAGGGACGAGGAAGGGGATAGCGAGATAGAGAAGATGGGAGATGGAGGTCAGAAAAGCGAGAAGATGGGAGAGGGAGCTCGGAAAAATGAGAAGAGAGCAGAGGGAGAGAGAGTGAGGCGAAAACAGGGAGAAAGAGAGAGAGAGAGATACCTGTTGTAGCGAGAGAGAGAGAGAGATACCTGTTCAATCAATTAAGCCCTAAAAGAACAAAAAAAAGTTGATTTAAAGACAGAGCGAGAGAGATCAGAAATAGATGGAGAGAGAGAGAGAGAGAGACGCGCACACACATACCAGAAAGACAGAGCGAGAGAGATCAGAAATAGATGGAGAGAGAGAGAGAGAGAGACGCGCACACACATACCAGAAAGACAGAGCGAGAGAGATCAGAAATAGAAGGAGAGAGAGAGAGACGCGCACACACATACCAGAAACACACATACCAGAAAGACAGAGCAAGAGAGATCAGAAATAGAAGCCCATGACTTATCAGGAGCCGCATTGTCTACAGTTGAAACCACATTCAACTCAGGATTCAGGGCCACAGGATTTTGGCCTCTGCCTCCCCTTCCTCTACGACCACCTGACCCAGATCGACCTCCAATAGGTGTGTAAACCTTCGAATCAGCCATACCACCACCAACTCCATACGATTAAGTTGTTAGGGTAGAAGCTGTTAGAGTATAACAGAGAAGATTTAGGGCAAAAGCTGTTAGGGTTGAAGTTTCCTCTTGGGTAAGATCACACGGATCAGAAACTCCCGATCCACACCAGACATGGAAGCCTTCATACGATTAAGCTCCTCTCTTCACTCCTCAAAGGGCTTCGACTGAGTAACTCGCCGAAACGGATCCCCCTGTGCAACCTCCATCGAAGCTAACCCCAACGATGCAACCTCTTTCTCTCTTTCATTCATCGCGATAATATCACTCGTCAATCCTTCCATAGATTCCACAAAGGAAGAAGGGTTCAAATGGGCCTCACATACACAAAGAACACTCACTGGATTTGCCTTTATTTAATTTTTTTTTTCTGTTTTGCAGGTACAAAACGACGTCGTTTTTTGATTGGCGACCAAATTTTTTTGGTCGCCAAAAAATTTCATTTCCCCCCTCCTGGTTGTTCAAATTTCCCTCCCAAACTTTTGGCGACCAAAAGACCAAATTAATCGCAGAAAAAGTACCTTCGCCGACAAACTTTTTTAGTCGCCAAATCTCAATCAACGGCGACTAAAATATTGGTCGCTAAAAATACAAATTTGGCGACCAAAAATTTGGTCGCCAAAAAATATGTGACCTTCCGCGACCAAATTTGTAGTTAGTCAGGAAAAGTATACCACTTTTTGCGACCAACTCATTTTTTGGTCGCCAAAATATAACCTTCTGCGACCAATAATATTTGGTCGCCAAAAACAATGATCATTCACGACTAATTAATATTTGGTCGCCAAATGTCATATTTTTGCGACAAAAATTTTTTTGGTCGGCAAAAGTGGTCGCCAAATGTGTAAATTCTTGTAGTGATAGTTCGCAAACTATCATTTTTCATTCTTCTTTCAATAATATTTTTCATTTTCCATTGTATAATAAATTTGTTTGATGCAACTTTTTGTTAGTTAAAAGTTAATAATCAAAAAGTAAAAATTAAAAGAGTAAATTATTGAAAAGTCCAACCTAAGGAGGTGTATGCACCCCATTTTGACCGACAATAAGACTTGGGCACATTTATTTGATTACCCAATGATGAAAATAGGAATGAGTTTCTCCTTATGCCTGTTTTGGCCAAGTGTTCAAGACCCGTTCAAAACTCTCTTTCTATGCTTTGTTCCGAGTATTTCCATAATATTTCGAGACTCATTTTTAAACTTCAAAATAAAATATTTTCTAAGGAAATTGAGCAAATAGCAGTGTAGAAATAGGAGAAAATGATAATAATTCTATCAAAAAATCATGTTTCATACAAAATAGTCAAAACAAGGCCAAATCGGCCAGCCAATTACTTGGCCGACCAGCCAAGAAATTGGCCGGTTAGCTAATTTGCCTAGAGAAATCGCAATTTTGGCAGAATTCTTATTGAATTCGGGTCATGCCATTTCAGATCTTTCTTCATACATTCATGCACAAGGTGCATACCTACACCCCCTCTATTGTCCTTTATTGTCATAAGAGCATATGTCTTCTTCCAAAAAAGGGGCATTCAATGCAATCATCCTTGTCACCCCATTATCATTGTCACCCACCTTCTCCTTGACTTAGCCTGCCATAATTGCATATAGAATGATCAGAATGTATGTTAGAAAGATAAGAGGAATGGATTAAGAGAAGAGAAATCAATTAAGAGGAGAGAGAGAGAGAGAGAGAGAGAGAGAGAGAGAGAGAGATAGATAAAGAGAAAGAGAGAGAAGTTTTGAGAGTTGGCCAAAAAATTCTATTTTTTAGCTATACACTGATATACCATCTTCTATTTATCAAACCATCCCAGAAATTCTGTTATAGCCAAATTCTAGTAGCCTTGATTGAAAAATAGTGATTGTTGTTGAAAAATAGAAAAATAGAGAGTTAACCATACCTCCTGCTCCCTTACACACACTGTTAAGCAACCCAAAAATAGCATTCTTATAAGAATTTTGAAATTTTGAACTGATGATTGAGAACACTCTTCCTAAACTTGAAGGTAATCAAAAGGAAGTTTAGAAATCAAGGAGTTCATCATTTTCTAGGAATGTAAATTTCGCACACTTTCATTTTCTTGAACTTTCTTTCTTATATTAATTTTCTTGCTTTGAGTTCGTGTTATAAACTGTTGTAATCTAACTGGAAGTGGTGCGTTGAGCCATCCACATATCCCTTGTTTGTTCTTTCTTTGGTGTTGAAAAGGGAAAAATAGAGTTTTTTGCCAGGATTAATTAGTCGGCCAGCCAATCAATTGGCTGACCAGCCAACTTCTCCTGGGACAAAATAGAGCAGTATTCCGGTGTCGAGCATAATGGTTTCCAGCGATCCCCAAGGCATGCATATTTACTATTTTTGTTGTATTTTGAGAGAGTTGTGAAGTTTTATATTTTGTTGTAACATGTTTATTCATTTCATTCCTTATTTGGATATGTAATATTCAAGTGTTATAATAATTTCCCACCCTACTTCTTTTTATCCCGTTCTTTTCTTCTCTGTACATATGCAGTATGTTTTGCTTGTCATCATATCCATACTTTGCATCCATGTCTTATGCTTTAAGATTTGACTAAATTTGTATCTGTGGGTTTAATCAATTATTATGTGATTTTGTGCGCTACCTCATGTTTTTTAAATGATTCACATGTTATTTATTAGAAGCCAGATCTTTAGTTGCATTTTATGAGTGAATTATATTAGGATCTTGTATATAGGATCATGCATGTGTTTACTAACTTTGTGTTGTAATTATTTGCGGGGCGTCAGTAAATATGTAATTTTTTGTGCTTTGGCGTTCCGCTTGTGTGTATTTTTCTTACTATGTTTAGCATCCTATCATGTGGTTATTTACTTATTTGACATAACTCTATGCATGCTAGTGGATGAAGGTTGTGTTGTTTGATTTGGAATAAAATTGATATTCACATTTGTAAAACTCAATTTTCTGTGTTTTATACTCTATTCAAAAAAAATTCAAAATGCATAAAATCTAGTTGTTCCAAGACAAATGACACAGTCTATATTTGTTTGCTTCACATAGTAAATTTTAGGATTTATTAAATAAATTGGAATGTGAACATGTGAAGTATTTAAAAATCATATCATGGTTTAGTTGTCACACCCCAAATTCGGGCATGACCGGCCGTAGCCCACAGGGACTTAGCCCAAGGCACACGTAAGCCCAAAACATGAATCCAAAACCATAAAGAATAAATGTGATGATAGCCTAGAAATAAATAAATCAACACTCAATCCAGTGACATATCACAAGTGAAAAACAAGTCATAACCAACTTCCTAAAAATATATATATATATATATATATTAAATGGGACACACCGCCCACAAAATAAAATAATTCTAAATAAAACCCAACCACAATGTATGCACAAAACTCGACAAAGCAACCTAAAACAAATTAAATAAATGCCCTAGAAGTCCATGCAATTGAGTCCCCGTTACGCCATGAGTCCACTCTAAGTCCTTCTAATACCTAGAAATGGTAAACAACTAAGTCAGTTGATAGCTCAGTGAGTAGCAACATGGATAGTAAATACAGTTTTGAAAACAGGGTTCAATTCCAAAATAAGATATATATCACAGAAACTAGATTGGCATACAGTTTGGTAAATACAATCTGTTTCAAAAAGAAGGTTCCACAGTTCAACACTTAAAATACTCATGTCTCGCAAGAACATGATAAACAACATTTTCCACTTAAAACAGATTATAACATGAACACCAATAATTTTCTGGGTACCAATAAAAACAAATAATCTGCCACACATTTCTCAGGCTATAAGCCCCGTTGGATCCAATACCGAACTAAGAGTCATCCTCAGGGTGGCACCTGGGCCTTTTCTCAAAAAATTCATAAGTGCTTATGTGATTATGTGTTTACGTGGAATGAATTACAGTTTCCCATTGCATTAGGACGTGAATGTTATAGTTTCGGCACATTTGTGAATGTGCTAATGTCTTCGTTACCTTTACTAGGATGTTACGACGAGGACGTGGTAGTAGGTGAGGTAGGCCTAGGAGACAGGAGATGCCTATACCGGATGAGATTCTGGCGCAGCAGGAGGGTGTTGGTCAGGCCAA